AAAGGAAGCAGGAGATGGGCCAGCCTCTGGCCAGACTCTCTCTGCTCCTCAGACAGAGGGGAGGTACAGAGACAGAATCATATCTATCTGCTCCCTTAAAGTCTAGAAGTCATTTTTAGATTCAAGCTCTCCTCCTGACTACTATTCCTCAATGGGAAAGGAGGGCCCCAAGATATATAGCCAAGGCGTGACTTCCCTCTCACCAGATGCTAGCTCCACAAGGAACGCAGACATAGCAAATAAGCCCAATTATCCAAAGTGATAGCAAAACAGAAATCAGAGAAAGCATACACATGAAAACATATGCCAGACATGCAGATGGAATGAGCTCTTCCTTTGTGAATGAGATAACTTGGCTCAACACAGGGAGACAGAGAGAGACAGACAGACAGACAGACAGAGTCCCAAGTCTCACCCAAACCTAGACTCCCCAAGCAAACTGGGGATAGAGACAGGGCAGAGATTTTCAGTTTCTTTACATGTCAACTCTTTCTCAGTCTGTTTCTCTTCATAGACATGAAGACAGATTGGAATTGTGGCTCTCCTTGATGCTGGAAGTCAGAAGAGCCTGGATCTCTCTTTTCTCTGGCTCTCACTAATTCTGCCCACCTGTCACGCAGGTGATGGTGCCATTCAGTTGGCCCTCTGAGCCTGACATTCCTGGGCTGAAACTTTGCAGAACCTGAAAAGATGAGCTAAGGTTGAGTGTTTGCCGTAATACATTTTTGAAGTAAATATTCCTTTGTAAAAGTAAACTATTAATAGATGGAACCGGGGTGCAGGGGATGCTGGAGGCATCGGCAAAGGGACGGGACACCCCCAACCCCCCATGATGGTATCAGATGGGGGAAGGAGAAATGGAATACACCTCTTCAGGGCTAATAACCCCGAGGCCTTCAGGGTAAGGGTGCAGGGTGGTCAGGATTACAGGTGTAATAAGAGCCTGGGCTCCCATGGACCCTACCCATAGTTGTCCCTCCTGGTTCCCGCTGACTACACAGCAGCTTTGGGGCCTTTTGGCAGCCATGCTGAAGGACTGACACTATCACCTTACTGGCTGATGAGCCAAAGGACCCCCTGGCCCACTGGATCTTTTAAAAGGATAGACAGCCACCAGGTAGGTCTCATGGACCGAATCATCTGTTTGATTTTAGACCTTCCTTGTGAGGGAGGTGGCGGGTGTGTGGAAGGAGCGTGTTGCTGGCCGCAGCCTCGATCCCATGTGAAGTGACCTGGGCCTCTGCCCCATCTGCCTTTCCCTCTTCTTGCTTCCTTTCCTCAGTAGGTGGGTGACTGAGGATCTACTGCAGGGTGTGTCTAGGCTTCATCTGATAGGTCTGCAGGGCCTCATTTAATTGTGGGAGGCAAAAAGGTGAGGGGAGCTTCTTCATCAGAGGAGGTAGCTACTGTAGAGACTAGCACTGTCCAGTCTTGGCGTCCTTTAGCTGCCATCTTGTCCCAGGAATTATTTGGACATGGCAGAGACAAGGTGGCACACAAAATGCCTAATCAGCATTCCTGCAAGCTGCTTTATATTCTGAGGAGGTTCAAGTATCTGCCTCCTCCAATACCATAACAGAAGTCTGGTTAAATCACCGAATCCTGTTTTAGGTCACTGCGTCAATGTGTGCTGGTGACAGTCTTTCGTGTTTTAATATTTCTGTTGTGTGTAGGAATAAAATATCCATCCCATGCCTGATTCATGTTCTCTATCGTACATATTCGTCTTCTTGGGCAGACCAAGCCAACCACCCAAACCTTAAGCTTAAGAGGACCTAATGAGCCGCAGAGAATGAGAAAAGGAGACTGATCCCTTTCTCCTTAGAGACCAGGCTCTCCTGGAACTGAATCTGGTCTAACTGCAATCCTGGGTCCAGAGCGAAGGGGCTCCTTAGGCACAGGGAGTACCTGCACGGGCCCCAGCCTCTAGAGGCCCCACAGTGGATCCTTAAAACTAGACCGGAGCTGCCGATCTCTTACCAACAAGTAGGCATCCGGCTTCCTCTCGCAGACCTGGTACCATGGCTGCCGTCACACTTTGGGGCAGTTCTCATTGATGTCAAGTCCCAGTTGGACCCTTTGCCCTTACACCTATTACTTCTGGAGCCGGGTCATAAGCCTAACCTTTGTTCTGTGTGACAGCCCCTCATTGAAGATGGAAAACATGCTCCCTCTCCTCCAGATGAAACATCCCTCAGATGGAACCATCTCCGCGGAGCCTGTCCTGTCGGGCTTTCTCCTTGCAATACTTCTCAAGCCCTAACTCTCCTGCTGCTGAGAAGCCTCACCTCGTCTAGTGAGGCTGGGCCAGATTTCCCTGTTGGGTCATTTCTCTTACACGGCTATGTAGATATGGCCCCTCGAGGATGCCAGTGGTCTTTATACCTCCCAGACCCAGCACAGCGCCCTATATGTAGTAGGGAAACAATAAATGCTTATTCCATCCAGCTTCTATTTTCACTGTATATATCTTGTACACACCTAGTTATATACATGTTGTCACCCCTTTAGAATGTGAGCGCCTAGGGTCAGCTAAGTGGCTCAGTGGATAGCGCTCCAGCCTTGGAGTCGGGAGGACCTGAGCTCAAATGTGACCTCAGACCAAACACTTGACACTTACTAGCTGTGTGACCCTGGGCAAGTCACTTAACCCCAACCGCCTCCCAGCAAAAAAAAAAAAAGCTCCTCGAGGGCAGCTACATGTCTTAACCTTTCTTTGCATCCTCAGTGTTTACTTAGCACAATCTTTGGCTTTAACAAGGGCGTGTAGACCGGCTTGTCTAACAGGAAACACCTGCGGCCGGAGAAGCAGACCTCGTCGATTCAGAACAGGGGCTCTCAGCCCAGGGTCCTGGAAATTGGTCCGTTTCCTCAATTTGTAGCGGGCCCCGTCTTCAAGTCCCAGCTAAGACCGGCCTTCTGCAAGCCGCCTTCGCAGATGCCCCGTGCTGACCCTCTGATGACCATGTCCAGCAGATGCTGCACGTGTTCCCCGCATGTTGCGTGTGCTCTCCAGCCTCGGACCCCGAGCCCCCTGCGCGCAGCGGCCGCCCCCGCCTCTTTGCAGCTCAAGCCCGCGGCACGGGGCCTGGCGCGCAGTGGGAGCTTGGGCCTCGACCTGCCTGTGGCAAGAGCCTCGGTCTGCTTTGAGTCCTGGCGTGACACTTCCCGCCAGCTGATCTGGAGAAGCGGTCCAGCCACGGGTGAGCCCCGGGCCGTGAGCAGCAGGGACCAGGGTCGAGCAGCAAGCGCGCATTTTATATGGAGTTTCCTCTGCGCCAAGCACTTCACAAATTTTAACTCATTGGATTGCCACAAGAGGAGGTAAGTGCTGTTAATATCCCCATTTTACAGCTGAGGTAACTGAGGCAAGAGCCTTGGTCTGGGTCACCCAGCTCCCACTGGCCGAATTTGAACTCCGAGCTTCCTGCCTACAGGTCTAGCGCGCCATCTAATAGAAAGATTAATAAAGGGACTGATTGACAGCGGCTGGAATGAGAAGCAGAGCGCACGCGCCAGGGCTCCACGTTCCAGAGATCTGGCGCAGCAGGGATGGCGGGGAGGGAGAGAGGCGGTGCCGGGAGAAAAAAATTAATCAGGTCCTCCCGCGCAGGCGCCGCCGCCAGCACCTTGGCGCCTGCGCAGTGTCCTGCCTCCGCTCCCGCCCCGGCGGCGGCCGTTGACGGCCGTTGCCTTTCGAAAACGCGCGCGGCTCCGAGGGGTGCGGCGGGAGGGGGGAGGGGGAAGTTATCGCCAGAGGTTGAAAAATGCCAGGGCGGCAGCGCCTGCGCCGTGGGGCCCCGGAAGCCCCGCCCCGTCCCGCGACCCTCCCTGGCCCCAGGCTGGGGAGGGACCGGGGCGGGAAGGGGCGGAGCCAAGGGCGGGGCGCGGGATCGCTGGATAACCTGAGCTCCCAGGAGCCGAGCTGGCCAGTGTCCCTGCCTGCGCGGGGGAGGAGGGCGGCCGGCCGGGGTGAGTGCGCCTGCGCGGGGCGAGGACGAGGCCTGGGGTGCACCCTGCAAGTGGGAAGGGGGAGAGGAGGGAGCCTCGGCCGCACTCCCGGGCTACTGCCTTGGCTTGACTCCGAGCACCCCTCCCTGCCTCTGTTTCCCCCTTCTGTCTCCCCTGCCTCTGTTTCCCCCCCCGCCTCTATTTCCCCCTGCCTCTGCTTCCCTCCTTCGGTCTCCCCTCTGCCTCTCTCCTCCCCTGCTTCTGTCTTCCCTCTGCCTCTGTTTCCCCTCTGCCTCTATTCCCCCTTCTGTCTCCCCTCTGCCTCTCTCCTCCCCTGCCTCTGTTCCCCTGTCTCTGTCTCTCCTCTGTCTCTGTCCTCTGCCTCTGTTTCTCCCCTGCCTCTGTTTCCCCCCTTGCTTCTTTTCCTCTCCTTCACATCCTGTCTCTCTCTCCTGTGCCCACATTCTTCTCTTCTCCCTCCAGATGCTGTCTCTGCTCCCCCTCTCACTCTCTCCCAGTCCAACACTCCCACCCTGTGCTGAGGGCTGGGGACCCCAGCACCATAAAGCACCCCCATGTCTTTTATGTTTCACTACAGCTTTAGGCCCATTTTGGGGCAAGGGAGACAGGGCTGGATCTGGGGGGGATGAAAACACCTGGGCTCTTAACTCCCTGGGTGGCTCTTGCCCCCCCCCCCCTTCAGATGAGAGAGGTGGCCTCTAGATCTTGGTTACTGACCCCTGGGAGCTGTGGGTTCATGGGATGCTGGACTCAAGGGTTTGTATCTATTTGGTCAAGGATTGGGGGGGAGGGTCAGTGTTGTGGAAAACCAGGGACTGTGGAGTTTGAATCCAGAGCCTGCTCCATCAGTACCACTTGTTACCCAGTACTTACACAGTGCCTGACACCCGGTAGGCAGGCGCTCAGTAGATGTTTATGGAATGCCCAGGACCTCCTCTCCCCCTTTTCCTGCTCCCAGGGCTTGGCTTCCTCCACTCAGGGCTGGTTCTTGGAAGCTGAAGATCTTGTATTTTCATTTTCCATTAGGAATGTGAAGAGCTGAGAGGGGAGAGGCCATATGAGCACAGGAAGGCTGCAGCCTGGGTGAAGGAGAGCGTTCTAGGGCTGTGTGAAGGAGGTGAGTTCTGGGAACCCCCTGGGGAATGGCAGTTTGGACCCTGATGCCCACAGCAGGGCTGCTGGGTCCTTTGCTTTGTTCATTAAAAAGCAGAACAGTTAAAGTTTCGTTTTTTTGTCTGAATTCACTGGTCCAGCTTTTAGTTTTGGGTTTGGTTTTTTTCTAAGAGGAAATAAAGTTACAGTCAGATGCAAATGGAAAATACTTAAAAGGAATCTTGAAGGACTTTCCTGGGAGCAGTTGTTGAGTATGCTGGAATTACCACACTGATTGTGACTGAGTGAAAAACCAAAGCAAGCCAACAACCCAGCAAAACTTTCTCCTGAGTAGACCCACGGCAGAACTGGACAACGGTTACTACTGAAAATATGTTTTGTGATTGTACGTGCAGATGTCCCCAGTAGAACAGTGGTCGATGAACAGTTCTGAAGGAGAAAACCTTGGGTGCTTTAGCATGTGTGGGTTGAAGGGAGCAGGGTGTGAGCCCCAGTCTGGGGGTGGCATCTCCTGAGTCTGTTCCCAGGCCTCTTTCTTCCTCCCTAAATGTCCCTGGGCATTTCCCTGAGACTTTTAAAATGGGGCAAGTATCATTTGTCTTCCTCTGGAGGCTATAAAATTTAATTAATGTTTTATAACTGCCTACTTTTATAGATGAAAGGCAATAAAGGACTAGTATATTAAAATTTACAAAGAAGTTTTACTTTGAACAGAAGAGTGGGTAGTGAGATAATCTTGCTGAAGCTTTTTATGTCCGTTGAGCTACCGTCAATGAGTTTAGCCGTATGCGGTAGAGGGAGGTATTACAATGTGTAGGACATCTGCCCTTTTGAAGAAAGATTCCATCTGAGGTTCTGATCTGAGAAATGGACGAGATTTTGTCTTGGTGTTGCTTCGTGTGTTCAGAAGTTCTGAGGACTTAGAGCTTGACAGAACTTAGGGATCATTTTACAGATGAGAAAACACTGATAGCTAGGGAGGCTGAATCATTGCCTCCAGGGCCCACAGGTTGTGGCTGACAGCAGCCTGTGTTCAGGTCTTCTGGCATGCAAACTCAGAGCTGTTCAATGGGAAATCTTATACCACCGACGTGGGCTGGTAGAGAAGACATTTTTACACAGGCCACACTGAGCAATTATAGAAACATTCAGAATTTTAAAGCAATTCTTTAATAGTACCATAATACCTAGGTGCTCGACTGGTGTCCAACCAAGTAGTTGAAATTTCCATGATGGCGTGAACAATTTATATTAGACAATTCTATTTGAAACTGGCTGCTGTTGTGGTCACAGATATTAGATTCTCTGTCCATTTTCTTTAAGCTATATGCTTGAGAAATCTCTATCTGGAAATCTGGCTGTCTGTCGGGGCAGAGGAATGAGTTTGAATGACACTCTCTGGGGAGAGTGCTAGGTACCGTCTTACTAATGGTCATATCCAATACAAGTGACTAGAAAGTATAGCCTATCATTAGTTTCTCAGGAAGAAGATACAAGACCATGTTATTTAACCCTAGAGTACAACTAGGGAAGGAGGGTTTCAAAAAAACAAAAACCACTTCACTCTAGAAGCCTCTGATCTTAAGTCTCTTCCAGCTCTGTGAGCTCTGATTCTGGACCTGGTCGTCTGAGAAATGCAGGTTCTTCCAAATACGGTGAATTTATGTTATAGATGTCAAATACGCTTTATCCAAGGGAATTGTTAGGAATTGGTTAATGCCAGTTAACAGAGTTTCTGTCCCCAAATTGGAAGCTTCATGGTGAGAGCTGTTTAACTTTCTGAAGCCGCAGTTGGCCCTGTTGTTTTTCCTTCTCTCTTCTTGAAGTGAGAGAAGGCAATGCCAAGTGGCCAGGCTGGGTTTCTTCACAGGATGGGTTTTGTGGCTTCGGGGGTTTATGCTGCTGCTGCCCTGTGTTCATTATCTTGTCAGAAATGGGTTTTAAAGACAGGCCGCTTAGCACAGCCACTGACTCACCTACCTTGCCTTTTTGTGCAGTATGGAAGAAGTCTCACAAAATTATTTGAAAACTAGACTCTGGCACAAAAGATTTTAAGGGTGTCTGTTAGCATGGCTTTGTAACCTTTTATGTCAGAGTTCTAGCAGCCCCACTTTATGTACCTTTTAAGAAAGAATCCCTCTCATATCCCTGGAGCTATCATGGAAAAGGGTAAGTAGGAAATCTGGAACAAACGAGCACGGTCCTGAGTCATAGGAGCGTAGATCTAGAGGGCTGAAGAGGGACCAGATCAGATCATCTTATTTTACAGATAAGGAAACTGAGGCCTGAAACAGGAAGTCGTTTTCTTTGAGAGCAGGGCTATTTGTGATTTCTGAGGGTTTGTGTGTGTGTGTGTGTGTGTGTGTGTGTGTGTGTGTGTGTGTGTGTGTGTGTGTGTGTGTGTCGGTCTGTGTCTGTGTCCCAGTGTTTAGTTTCCAGGATGACAAAATCTTTCTTGAACCAAGAGGCAGAAACTTGCTTTTTGCAGGCCAATCCCAGCTCCTGCTGACGCTGCCAGACACTAGCCCAAGGCAGCAGAAGCTGTATGTAGAAAGTGGCTCTTCTTACCCAGTAACTTCTGCCTGCTTGAAGTCTTGAAGGCTCCTCAGTAGCCCAAAGGGCCCAGGCTTGACTTTTGTAATCCTTTAATCCTTGGCACAGATGATAGGATTAGGGGTAATCACTGAGTGAGGATCATTGCAGGATCCCCAGTCAGGCCAAACTGAGGCATCTGAAAAGGGCCGGCCCAGCTACCAGCCAGCTTGGTTTTTCTTTGATGTCTGCCCTGTGTAGGTAGAGTTTCAATTCTAACATGTATTAACTTGCAAGTCTGTGAATGTCACATGTCATGGTACCCGGTGTGTGCCTTACAGAGGAATTGTCTTGCAAGTAAACCTTTGGCTCAGTGGGCTTCTGGCCCTTTTGGAATACAGATGGACCCTGCCAGTAGCTTGTCCTTTTTTTGGCAAAGTATATTTTGCTGCCTTTTGAAACTACCAGAAAACTCATCTCACTGAACAACTCCATTGGGTCCTTTTTCCTGTGACAGCCCTGACCTCTCTCCTTGGTCAGCATGTACCTGTTTGTGTTGACTTCCCAAATTAGAGGTAGAATGGAACCTCCTTGAAGGCAGGGACTGACCTGCTTTTTGGATCTGTATTCCCAGCTCTTAGGACAGTGCCTGGCACAGACAAAACACTTAATAAATGCCTTTTCCTTCATTTACTAGTTTTCCTAATTGAAGTCTTAAGAGGCATTATGAGAAATATCTGAAAATCTGAATAGTTTAGGTTTTTATAAAAATGAGTTCTTTTGTAATTTTCTTTAGAACTTTCTTTTTTCTGAGTTGTCTCATAGCATTGACTGCTTGGCCTACACGCAGAGGTCAGCAATGTGATTTTTCTCGACCAACATGTAAACATAGAGCAGTGAGATGTCCAGAAATTTGGCTGACAGGGACAAGTCCCAGAAGCCACTTTTCAAAAATAAATTATTACTTATTTCTTTTTAACATTCCTTAAAAAAAATTGAGTTCTGGATTCTCTTCCACTCCACTCATTGAGAAGGCAAGAAATGTGATATTAATTATACATGTGAAACCATGCAAAATATTTCTGTGTCAGGGGCAAAAAAAGAAAGATCAAGGAAGTGTGGAAAAAACGATGCTTCAAAGACGAGCCACTTTTACTGCTCTTGCTTGATAGTATCACATTGCACAGTCTCCCACCCCTCAAAATTATAAACCCCTTAAACCAGGGGTGGGGAACCTGCAGCCTTTGGATTGAGTCCAAGTTTTACAGAAAAAATGCTTTTATTTTATTTTATTAAGTTTGGAGTCAGTCAAAGGGCTGCACTGGAGGACTTAGAGGGTCATGTTGGCCTCGAGGCTGAAGGTTCACCACCCCTACTGTAAGCAAAATCATCATTTTTTTACTGATGCTATTATCACCCCCATTTCACAGATGAAGAAACTGAGGCAAGCAGAGGTGAAAGGTCTTACCCTAAGTCGCATCTTCCTGATTCTAGGACCACGGCTGCATCCACAGTGCCTTTTAAGTGTTCTCAAAGCAGTACCTTACAAAGATAGATTGTACAAAGAATAGATCCTGGAGTCAGGAAGAACTCATAAAATGCTGAGGGAGGGGAGGCTGGGAATCTGATTGGATGGAATTGGGGGAGGGAGGGAGGCGTGTTAAAAATGACTAAGGTTGGGGCAGCTAGGTGGTGCAGTGGATAGAGCACTGGCCCTGGAGTCAGGTGGACCTCAGTTCAAATCCTGTCTCAGACACTTGACTAGCAGTGTGACCCTGGACAAGTCACTCAACCCCATTGCCTAGCCAAAAAAAAAAAATGGCTAGGGTTCAGCACTTGGTTGATGAGGATGGTGGTGATGTCAGCAGAGATGGGGCAGTGTTTTAGGGAGAAAAGAGCAGTTTTCAGGGAATCCAGAAAGATTTTCCACTTAAGCTTTAGTACCCAGCCTACCCCTAACTTGCCAATAAATCCGGCCTGCATTTGTCATCAGAAAACCAGGGTTTGAGTCTGAGGTCCCCTGGGAGACCTTGGGTGAGTTTCCCCTCCTCAGGCCTTCATTTCCTCCTCTGTCACAAGACTCCCCTCAGGCCCAGGGCTCAGGAGCCCGTTCCTGGGCTCTTTTCCCTTCTGGCCTCAGTCATCTTGGTTGACTAGCAAGGGTCACTGATGGAGGAGGCAGACCTGGCCCAGAGGGGCCCAGCTCAGGCACAAGGGCCTGTCCACCTGTTGGAGCAGCCCTAGGCTTGGGCAGCATCGCAGGGAGCAGGGGCTGGTGCTCCTGGGCCGCCCTCCTTCCCTGCTCCTCCCTGGACTGGCCAGAGACTCTAATCCAAGTTTGAGCCCCACCTTTTGTTTGCTAGTGAAAGAGGAAGGTCTGGGCTCCAGGCTTTACCTGGGAGGTGCACACACAGTGAAGACTATTTGAAGGAGGACAATAGGTGCAGTGTTTGGAAGGAAGTCCCTCTGGATTGGATGAAAGGCGGGACCTGTTCTCTCCAAGGGAGGGCAAACCACCCCTCCTGGTGAGCTCGGAAAGCTTCACTTTGGCTGATCAGAAGCCTCATTTATGGCTTGGTTAAACCAAGTTCAGCTCTTCTTAAAGGGCTATTGAATCTGGCACATTCTGCAGCTTTAGGACGTTTTTGCATTTTTCTGGCACCAGTTTGAGGACCTTGGAGTTGATGTCAGAGACACGAGAGAATCCTCAATGCGTCTTCTCATGGGCACCTCTGACTCAAGCTGGCCAGAAGAGGGGGTTACTGTTGGGAATGAGCATCTGTGCAGGCTCCCAGCCTCCGAAGCCAGTGGCCTCCTGCACAAACCCCAGGCATCACCCAACCTTGTCACTCCACCTGCACATCCTGTTCCCCCTTTGTCCAGATTAGGTGGCTCCTGCTTCAGTTGGGTCCCTCCCCTCTGCCTGGACCATTGTCCTAAGCTTCTAATTAGTGGCGTCCCTTTGCAAGGCGGCCCCCAGGCTTCTGCCAGTGATTTCTTCCTGGAGAATATGAAGGGCTGTGCCATCCCCTGCCCGCTCCCTCTCCACCCGTGGCTCCCAGTCTCCTGCAGGATCTGGCCGTTTCCTCTTTTTGCAGCCTTCTCACATGGTGATGCAGCTGCACGGGCCCACTTGCTGTTCTTTGAAGGCAGCATTCACCTCCCGTCCCTCGCCTTTGCCCTGGCTGTCCCCAGTGATGGGAACGCCCTCCCTCTTCGCTGCTGCCCCTTCCTTCACGCCTCTGGTCCACCTGGCTCGAGCTGCTGGTGCTTTTCCCTCTGAGATCATTTTCCATCTGTTCTCTCTCTGTGTCCTTAATATGCCCGGCTGTTTTCATTCTGTATTACAATTAGTTCCTTGAGGGCTGGGATGGATGGTGTCTTTAGTGCCTGGCACACAGTAAAGGCCCAGTAAAGGCTTACTGATGTTGATCCTTGACCCTTAATCTAAAATACACACCTACACACGCCCCAGTAATCTCGGCTATACCGGGAAATGAAAAATGTTTAGATTTAGAACTTTTGACTTCATTTAAAAAATTTGGATGGCGTGCTCTTAGTCTGATGAGCTTTGGCCCCGTGTTGAGGTTATAGGTGAGCCCTTACAGAGTATTACTGATCAGGAAGTCTCAAAGCGGCCTTCGGTGACCATAGGCCCCGTCTGTCATTAATTGCTTGTCGTGTTTGGTTCTTATCAAATACTGTGCCTTTTAAACAATTAGCAATTGGGGGCAAATTCTGAAACTTGTTGAAATTAATATTTGCAAATGACTCCTTAAAGTCGGTTGTTTTTTCTTTACAGGAAATGCATAATTTTGAGGAAGAACTAACATGCTCCATTTGTTATAGTATATTTGAAGATCCTCGAGTATTACCATGCTCCCATACGTTTTGCAGAAATTGTCTGGAAAATGTTCTTCAAACATCTGGTAACTTTTACATGTGGAGACCCATAAGAATTCCTCTGAAGTGTCCTAATTGCAGAAGCACAGTTGAAATCCCTCCCCCTGGCATTGAATCTTTACCTATCAATTTTGCCCTGAGAGCTATAATTGAAAAATACCGGCAGGAAGATCACCCAGATGTCATCACCTGCCCTGAACACTCGAACCAGCCACTGAACGTTTACTGCCTGTTGGACCGCCAGCTGGTGTGTGGCCACTGCCTCACAATAGGCCAGCATCAGGGTCACCCCATAGATGACCTCCAGAGTGCCTATGGGAAAGAGAAGGATGCCTCTCCCAAGCTTGTCGAGCAGCTGACGGACCATCACTGGATCAATGTGTGTCTGCTCCTGGAAAAGCTGGAGGAACAAAAAGCTCACTTCGAGGAGATTGTCCAAAGCGATGAGGAAGTTGTCCTCCATTATTTTAAGAAGCTTAATGATATTTTGGATCTGAAAAAAGATGCTTTTCTGTCCGCCTTGCATGATGTTAGGACCGCAATTGATGAAGAATACTCTCCACAAATTGAAAAGATGAAAGAAATAAGAGAACAGCAGCTGGAATTGATGTCATTGACTACATCTTTGGGAGAGGAGGAATCGCCCCTTAAATTCCTGGAAAAAGTCCATAGAGTTCGTCAGCGGGTATGGGACTTGAAACAAAGACAGCTCCCTGACATGAAGCCTCTTGAAATTTATCCACGAATTGGCCAGGTGTTGAAGGAAGAATGGTCAGGAACTGAAATTGGTAGAATCAAAAAACTTAATGTTCCAGAAATAAAGCTTTCCCCACAAAGGACGCAATGTGCCCCTGCGAATAAGCGGGAGAGGAAAATGGAGTTTTTGAAGGTTTTAAGCATTTTTGTACTGACAATTTTTTCAGGAATTTTGATGTTAATATTTTTGTTTAATGAACATATTATGCTGCCTATTTTTAATATGTATTTCTCAGAAGTTTCTCAATCTCTGTATCACACTTTGTCTAGCAGCATGCATACAGTTAAGGAAACAGTGTACCACACTTATCATATGCTGAAGGGATTAATATGGGACACCCTTTCTTGTTGTTTCTGAGAATTCAGATACAGATTAATTATGTTTGTCTCTCTCTAGCCAATTCTTAATTAGCTGTGGGGAGTGGGGACAGTTTGATAAAAAGCTTGGCCTTTTGCCCGTGCTGCCCAAAACAGTAGAGTGTCACCTTATTGCTCTGTCAAGGCTTGACACGCCATGTTTTGGTAGGAGGGAAACGAAGGAGGGAGGAGGAGGAGGAAGAGGAGAATGCTCCGATGAGCAACTCTTGAGTTACTCGGAATTGGACGTAGTTTTCTAATTCTTTTGAGTCAAGATTATTCAAAATTTACGCTTCCATTTTGGCTAATAAAGGACAGCTTTTATAACATTGTAACCTTTGAATGTGTTCTCCTGAGATTGTTTCCCCTCATCGGAATGATATGTCCTAAAGTCACCTTGTTTTCTGTGTGATCTAGCCTCGCCACCACCTGTAGCTAGTCACTCTCTTCCCATTCTCCCGATCTGACCCCTGCCCAGGCCTTACTTTCCTCTCCCATTAGTCACAGCCCTCTAGTTAAGCTCTGAGTCAGCTAAAAGCTATTCTTGTTACCTTGCCCCCTTCTCTTAGGGCAACCCAACTTTGACTTACCTACTTTGCTCTTGCTTCCATGTCACTGACTAGGGACGTAGGTCTAGAGCTGGGATCCCTCCCAGCCTATCTAATACTACTGTCTTTTTTTGACAGATGAGGAAATGAGGCCCAGAGCAGTTGTGACTTGCCTCAGGTCACCCAGGTACTTACAGGAGGTGAAATGTAAGCTCAAGGACTCACTGCAGAAGCCGGGGTTCTTTCTGCTCTATTCTGATCTCCCCTGGACCCTCCTTACTTAGTAGAAATCTTTCCATTTTTCCTTGATTGACTCTTATCACGTTCCCCACAGCTATTGTTTCAATCTTTTTCTTCTCAAGTCTCCCCCGTTCACCCTGTGCCTCCGAGCTCACCAATCTTATTGAGAAAATGGAGTAGTCTTTTCTACTAGGTCTTCGCCTTAAAAACCTTTCTTATCACCCTCACGTCTTTGCTTTGGTCTTTGATGAAGTCGGTATTTTTTTTCAATGAACAAAACTCAATTTTCTTTCCTTCCCTATTGGAAAAAAGAAAAAGAAAACAAAACAAATTCCTTGTCAGAAATACATATGGTTAAGCAAAACAAATTCTTCCTACATTGGCTACGTCTAAAAAAATAGATGACTCAGTCTGCATATCGAGTCCATCATCTCGGTCAGGACATGGGTATTCTGGAATCAGGGTTGGGTGTTGTTAGTCTTTATTATGTCATTATAGTATAAATTGTTCTCCTGGTTCTTCTGCACACTTCACTGTGTCAGTTCATACAAATCTTCTCATGATTCCCCAAAACCATCCCTCTCCTCTTTTCCTACAACATAATGTGTTCCATTGTATTCTCATACCGTATACTGTTCTGTGTCCTCCAGCTGATTTGCACCTGCTTAGTTTTGGCTTCTTTGCCACAACAAAGAACTGCTATAAACATTTTTGTGCACAGGGGTCCTTTAACTCTTTCCGCTCAAGGCTGTACTCCAGACTTTCTACCTAGCTGTGTGTGTTTATATTCCCAGCTCTTAGCTCAAAACACTTGCCTATTCACTAATTGAATGACTTTCTTTGATCTCTGTAAGCCTGATAGAGGCATTGCTGGGTGGAGGGCCCTGCAGTTCCCTATTTCAGGGCCTACTTCCAATGGCTTTCCAGAGGAATTTATAGTTCCATCAATGTACCTGTTTTCCTTCAGCCATTCCAACATCAGTCAGCTTTGCTAATCTAATGGATGTGAGCAGGAACCTCAGAGTTGCTTTAATCTGCTTTTCTCAGTTAGTGACTTGGAGCCTTTTCTCATGTGGCTATTACTAGCTTGGATATCTTCCTTAGAAAATTTCCTGTTCACAGTCTGGTATGCATATGGGATGGAATGCTGATGTACTGTAAGAACTGATCAAAGGGGTAGTTTCAGAGACACATGGGAAGACTTGTATGAACTGATGCAAAGTGAAGTGAGCAGAACCAGGAAGACAGTCTGTGTAATAACAGCAATATTTATAAAGGCAAGCAACTTTGAAAGACTTGGGAACTCTGATGAACACAGTGACCCACCACAATTCCAGAGGACACAGGATGAAAGGAGTTAGCCACCTTCTTCTGATAGAGATGTGATAGGTTCAAAGTGTGGCTTGAGACCTTTTTTTTTTTTCCAGATATGGGCTATGCCAGAATTTGTTATGCTTGATTATATATATTTGTAAAAGGAGTTTTATTTTCCTTGTTTTCTTTATGGGGATGGGGGAAAGGTGGCAAGGAAGGAGGGAATCTGGATCAGAAAACTTTAAAAAAAAAAAAGAAAATTGTCTGTTCATTGACCATTTATCAAGTGGGAAATGGCTTCCTTTTTTTTTGTAAATTTGAATCAGTTCCGTATACATCTTGGAAATGAGACCATTATCATGGGAACTTGCTTCAAAGATTTTTTTTCCCCCATTAACTGTTTCCCCTCTAATTTTAGTTGCATTGGTTTTGTTTGTGCAAAAACTAAATTTTAAGTAATCAAAATTGTCCACTTTATCTTTTGTGATTCTCTATCCTTTGTTTAGTTATGAACTTTTCACCTAACCCTAGATCTAAAAGGCAATCTCTTCTTGTTTCATGACTTTTGTCTTGCCATGGGACCTTGATAACTTTGGAAGAGACACTGAAGCCACTGCAGCTCGGCCTCACTTAAATCCAATTTGTTTGCAGGTCAACTTGTCACTTTATTTCTGACGTCAACCTTTATGTCTAGGCCACTTACCCTTTTGGAGCTTATGGTGATATAAAATGTGAGATGCTGGTTTATGTGTAATTTCTGCCATACAAACTTTCCAGTTTTCCCAGCAGTATTTGTTGACTAGTGAGTTCTTACCCTAGTAGCTCAAATCTTTAGGATTATTGAACCCTAGCCTGGTGTGTGTAGTCTGAGATCTGGTACGAGGACCCCTTCTTTCCTGCTTTTCTTTATTTTTTCCATTTCGATCCTTGACCTCTTCTTCCAGATGAATTTCATTTCTAAAATTTTTTTTGTGCTTCTATAAAGTAACCCTTTGGTAGTTTGGTATGTCACTGAAAAAGGAAATGTAGGTAGCATTTCAGTATTTATTGTGTGGCTGAGCCTCCCTGTGAGCAGTTCATATTCTCTATCTAGGTTTGCATTTCTGAAAAGTGTTTTTAGTTGTACTCATGCAGTTCCTGTGTCTCGGCAGATACACTCAAATGTGTTTTACACATTCTGTGGTTACTTTTAATGGAATTCCTTTCTCCTTTCACTGGGAGAAAGGAATCTGCTTGCCAAGGCTAATCGAGTTTCTGTGCCCTTGATCCTTGCCCTTCCATCAGACTTCTCACCTTCAGTCTCTTCCCGTGCCTAGTAGGTGCCAGGCGCTGTGCTAAGCGCTTCGGTTACAAATAGGAAAAACAAAACAAAGCTATCTGCCCTCGAGGAATTTACAATCTAATGAAGGGAGACAGCACCCAAAAGGAAGCTGAAAAGTGGGAGAGGTACAGCCTACCTGGCATGAGGCCATGATGGGGAAGTCCAAAGGGAGTGTATGTGTGTGTGTGGGGGGGAGGTTCGGCACGGCTGGCCTGGCCACTCCCCCTTAATGGACATTTTGGGGGCAGTTCTGGGCTCTAGCCTCCAGTTAGAGGAGTAGAGGAAACTCATGAAGTGACTCAATCTTTTTTTTGTGAATATTTTTATTTATTTTAAACTGAAAAAGGAAATGAGAAAAGAAAGAAAAAAAACATCGCCATGTGCACAGCAGACCACAAGAGGAGATTTAGAATAAAACAATAAATTTCCATTTCAAGAAAACCTATATAACATATACTACACGTTGTTTTCAAAGCTGTCCAGCTTTTCTTTGCTTCCGTGTTGGTTTTCTTTTGCATAATTTTTACTTATTTTTTCTCTTCCCTCCCCCTACCCCACCTTAAAGAAGGCTACAGTTAAGCATGGAGACATATATATCTCCATGCTTAATTGTGTGTATATATATATATATCTTGTATATATACATATATATCTTGTATATATATACATACATATAAATATATATCTTGTACATATATACATACATATAAATATATATATATACATATATATATACACACACATAGATATCCATAAACATACACACAAACACTCATACACATATATGTAAGACTGTACTATGTTTATTTCCTCCTGTCATGTGTTTCTCTGAAGGTAGATGGCATCTTCATAAGTCCAAGTCTGTCCATGTTTTTCTAAATTAACAGCTCATTGTTTCCTACACCACAGAATATTCCACCCCAAATTCATTTTATCTGAGAGATTGTCTCTGAAAGTTTTTTCCCCTAATTTTCTGTATTCCTTCTATTGTTGGCTACATAGATTTTATTTATATAAGACAATTTTAATATAATCAAAATTTTCCATTTTACATGTCAACAATACTATGGTTTAAGGTCTGATATTACTGAATCTAAATCTAAATTCTTTGAAGTTCCTGACCTTTAGTTCTTCCAAATAAACTTTGTTATTATTTTTATAACTCAGATAATTTTTTAATAATTTAATTGGGATGGATTAAATAGATTAGGTAAAATCATAATTTTTTATTATATTGGTTTTATCTACCCATGAACAATAAATATTACTTCAATTATTTAGATCTGAGAGGTGATTTAATCTTGCAGAATAAGGTTCCTGGGAACATGAGGTATATCCAGAATAGTATAATCAGATGGGAATCCTGAGCAGAATGTAATCAAAATGTATTCCTTTTTATTGATCATTAAGTTTTTATTATAAAGAAAGTTGGTTATAAGCTGAAAAGTGTCCATGATGATCTAGTAGTACATTGGTATCAAACTCAGATAGAAATGGATCCCTGCAGGTTAGCATGCTGACTTAGAAAACCACAAATTATCATGTAGGTTGTATTTTTTGTTGATTTTGTTAAATGTTTCCCAGTAACGTTTTAATCTGGTTCCTGCAAGGGTGTGTTTTGTCAGTCCTTACAGCCTGGGGTCTTTGGTAGCTCTGGTCTGGTGCCGGAGGGGGTCCAACCAGCCCCCATGAGGATCAGTCAGAAGAACCAGGCCATGTTTAGTCTGAAAAGATGGCTCAGGAAGAAGATACAAGGGCAGGCTCTCAGGAGAAGAATGGGTCTGCTGGACACAAGCAGGCAGAACAAGGTGCAGTGAGGGCTAGCTCAGAGGATTACATCCCTCCTCTACACATGTGACAGGGACTGGATCCATGACATAATCCACACTGGGAATCCTGGGGTGAGGAAACCCCCTTTACCAGGGTAGGTCAGCAACACGGTCCTTCCAACAGACAGTGCAAGAGCTGCTTGGAGCAGGAGCTGCAACCCAGCTTTCCCTGGCCTTGAGGCCCATGCTGCCCCTCCTGTGGGGTCAAGCTGAATTAGTCAAGGTGGTCTCCCCAAGGCTAAAACCCTCCAACCCTCCCAATCTAGCATGGGGTGTCCTGAAAGCCACGGACTGTTTGATATTGAGTCAAATTGTGCGTCCTGGGAGGAATGCTTTTGCGTGCTGGAGGCAGCATGGCCAAGGCTCCGAGGGAGCTGGGGGAGACCTCAGCTTGACCCCCAGAAGCACCACTTCCTCCCTGGCCTGCTTCTTCATCCCTTAGACAGTGTAGAACAAGATCGGACAGCTTCCAGCGTTGGGTGGCTTCCAGCGTTGGGTGGCTGTCAGCCCTGCCTGTCGGCAAGAGGATGAACCTGTCATGTTTCCCAGTATTCCCGTCCATCTCAGGGTTATCCAAGTCAACTCATTTGATATTTCTTTTGGTGGCATCACTAGGATGCGGGTAGATCAACAATGGCTTCACTGGTGGGTTCTAAGAGACCCGCCTGGAGATGCCACTCTGAGGAGGGTCCTGTTGTTTCAACAACACAACCAGAACAGCTGTCCATAGAGGAAGAGGATGAGCCCTAAAGTGTGTTCTCACCACAGAGAACTCAATTAAAGGTTCATTATGGAAGGACTGCATTGTGGAGAACAGACCCGAGTTTTGAAAGGACACTTGCAATGTAAAATGTACTCCTTTGCTAGTTATAGTAAAACACACCAAAAAAGCAACCCCCTCCCCCAAAAGAAAAAACCCTGGGCCTCAAGTTTCCTCATGTGTAAAATAGGGGGTGGGGGGAGGGGTTGGCCTCTGAGGTCCCTTGCAGCTCTGTCTGACCCACATTTTTTGTTTGTTGCTAAAGAAAAAGAAAACAAGTGATTACAGTGTTTCCAACTTATATCAGTGACATTTGATAGACATTTAGGTAAGCTAAAATTTCCCGGCAATGTTTTCATAGCAGTTAGTTGTAATAAATACCCAACTATCTATCTTTGCTCATATCTATTAGCACAGATGACATTCCAAAAACATTCTTTATTCTTTTGACCAGACTGAAAACAAAAACAAAAAATGCAGAATGCTTTTTATCAGTTGAGTGTTACTAAAGAATTTACTTTCCCTCAAGATGAAACAATGAAACTTGTGAGCTTACCACAGAAATTTTGTTATTGAAGCACACATAAATAAAAATATTTAAATGTAAGGGCTGTTTCATACTTCAAACATATTTTCTTTTAGACCCATGGCTTTGAACCCTTCCCCCCCAATAGGATATCAATGTCTGCATTCTCTTTCCAGTTTTTCCCCCCTTAGTTTCTATTAATAGTTAACTGTGTATTTAAACACAGCTATATACTTAACTCTGGGAAGCTAGCTCACTAGAATAGGACTTCATTATTTCTCAGTGAAGGAGAAATGGATAAGCAAAACTAAGAATATTCTTCATAATTTTCTTCTCTCCCTTCACCCTGGTCCCCAGTAAAAATGCTAAGTTAGAGTCATGTGCATAACTCTACATTAGAATTTACCTTCTTGGTTGGGGGCAGCGGGACCAAGGAGGGGTTGGAGAGGTGAAAAATAAATGGCTGGTTCCTAGCTAAATTTTTAAGAGATTGCCACTGACTCTTCCTTGGGTATCATGTTAGAATGAGTACATTTCACCCAGCTCAGAAGGAAACCAGGGATTGAAGACTCTTTTCCATTTGTTAAATGTAGATTTAGGGTAAGGGAAACTGGTTACTGCCACTCGGGTTTTCCTTGAACTACAGAAAGTACAGTTGTGGCTCCAGTTCACATCTTAGTTATAGGCGTGAATTTGCATTAAAACAGTAATGGAGGTAGGCCAGCCTTGTTCGTCCTTCTGAGTAATACCATGATCTCTCCTTAGCCTGCCCCTCCTGCTATCTTCCCCACGGTGGGGCGGCGGGGAGAAGAGGGGAGAGGTGAGAGGGAAAGTAAGGCATCAATTTTAGCCTGGAAAAAGCTGAGTTTGTGAATGAAGAAACTAGACCTAGAAGAGTGACCATTAATTAATGGCAGAATTGGGTCTAGACTGCTAACTAGGATCGTGCTATCCCAGATGGATTAAGAAATGTCTCCTCTGATTTGTTTCTTGTCCCTTAAAGTATGAAAGATATCATGCTAATCTCAACTTAGCAGAAATATGTTTATTTTTAGAATATTAATCTAAGGGGTACTTCTACTTCATTTTAATGCCACCATTTTTGGAAGGGTGATAAAAATAGATTCCTTGAATTACCATGTCATTTTCTTTAGTGTTGTGATTTAATGTGTCCCATTTGGTAATGGAAGACAAACTAAATGATGATAGGGCCAAGACTCCAAGCTAGCATCCTCTACAAATAAATGAGTATTCATTCTGAATTGTCACAGTTTGGGCCCTGCTGAAAGTTGATGCTTCGTTTGCTCAGCTTAAGAATGGAGCTATGGAGGGGCAGCTAGGTGGTGCAGTGGATAGAGCATCGGCCCTGAAGTCAGGAGGACCCTGAGTTCAAATCCGACCTCAGAGCAAACACTTGACACTTACTAGCTATGTGTCCCTGGGCAAGTCACTTAACCCCAATTGCCTCGCCAAAAAAAAAAAGCAAAAAAAAAAAAGAATGGAGCTGTGGCCTGTCCTCTGTGTAGGAGGGAGAGAATTTTGTTTTGTTTTGTTTTGGCTAGGCAATGGGGTTTAAATGACTTGCCCAGGGTCACCCAGCTAGTAAGTGTTATGTGTCTGAGGCCGGATTTGAACTCAGGTCCTCCCAAATCCAGGGCAGGTGCTCTATCCACTGCACCACCTAGCTGCCCCCAAGGGAGAGAATTTAGGCAGGACCACAATGGCCAAGTATATGTGGGGCCTGGGCCAGTCAACCTTGCTTTTTCTAAAGTCTTTTTCATCTTCCCTGAACCCACATCAATCAGGAAAATTCCTGGAAAGATAGATTGGTTTCTACCCTTAGCAAACCATGGTGATGATGTATGATCCCCAACTAAACCAGGAATTGCTAGACACTGGATTAGCCTTCTACCTATAGAAGTAATGGATTTCATTGAAAAACTCAAAATGTGAGGGATCTATTTTTCTCTTGACAATAAAGTTCTTGAAATGTGACCCCACTGGTAATATGTGTGTTATTTCTTAGTATTTTTACTCATTTTAAGTAGTACAGGAAGCTGTTGCTACACTGTAGAGATCGATAGCACCTCAGTGTTGCAGGAACATCTTGCAATCAACTAATAAGGTCCAGTGGCCTCTGCCAAGCACCATTAATGAAGTTGGAGGTGGACAGACAAATCTAGGGTTTTTTCTCTGCCAAGATTTTTAAAGCACGGGGTGATTTCCTCCTGGCTACTGAATGTAGGGCTCTTCTGGGTGCTTCTTCAGCTGTTGAGTAGGAGTATCCGGATCTTCTGTTAACAAAAGCTGTTTTGAGTATGGGATCTAGACTCTAAGGAATGTCCCAGTTCCACAAGGTACAGTGGGGATTGTAGCTGGTGGCATGATGAGATAGTACTGGGTTCAAATCAGCATGTCTGCATGAGGACATTTGGTTTACTTGAGGGAATACAAGAAATGCTATAGAGCCCCTCTATCTGACTCACTTCCCTCTGGAGAGCTCTCCTGGGTTGGTCAACATGACTTGTAGAAACTACTTAGCTCCTCACTTGCTCCCTTCTGGTTTCCCTGGCTGCCTTACTAACTCTTAGAACAAGAAGAAATGAGGGGCAGCTAGGTGGCACAGTGGACAGAGCACCATCCCTGAAGTCAGGAGGACCTGAGTTCAAATCCAGTCTCAGACCAGATACTTAGCCCTAGCTGTGTGACCCTGGGCAAGGCACTTAACCCCAATTCCCTTGCCAAAAAAAGAAAAAAAAGAAACGCATCTCGTTTGTCAAGGCTCTTCTCCCAACTTGGGTTGGTGGGGTGCTCTGCAAGCTCCCCATTTTTTGTAACTCCAGACTGTTCTCCTGGGGATCCTGCCCCTTCTAACTTGGGTGGGTTCTGGCCTGCAGTCCTGGCTTCTCCATCTCTTTATTATTCACTTGTTTTTCCTGGGCTTTTTTTCTTCTTCTTTACTTTCTAGTATGCTCTGGTCGGACCTGGGGTCTTTTAAAAAAAACAAACCAAAAAAACGACCACCCTGAATTCCCCTTACCAACCAGAGCATTCTGGTTTCCCTATGACCTATTCAGTCTCCACATTTCTCAACATTTATAGTTTTTTACTGACAGATCATTACCTAAGATCATTTTGTCCCACACTTGATTTTGAGCCCCAGGCTGATACCTGATAGATGCATAGTGATTTGAGGTTTGCAAAAGCCTCTATATCCATTAGCTCATTTGAACTTCAAATGGCCCATGAAGATATTGCCAGTGTTGATTAGCCTTTTTTTACAGATGGGGAAACTGAGATACAGAAGCTGAGACTTGGCTCATGAATACAGCCAGTAATCGGCAAGGAATTTGAAACCGGGTCTTCCTGACCCAGCACCACTTACTGTCCCATGCATCCTCTTGAGAACTAGATTCAAATCCCAGCTCACCTATAGACTAACATGACCATTTCTCTAAGCCATCTGTAGAATGGGATACTGGCACTGTGTTCCACACAAGGCTATATTGAAAGGCTTGTATCAATGTGAACTATTTCTCTGAAACAATCCTTACTAGAATTTGCTTTTCCAGCAGCTTAAGGAAAGTTCTTATATCTCTAGTTGCTTTTGATACCTCATACTACCATGGCTTCTGCTGTCTACCAACTTAACCTATCCAAATCAAATTTTGATATTTCAGATTATGCCTTCATTCTTTTTAAATATTCCTTGGGGATTTCTCTAGTTCTCCTCCTCCCCCTTCCAAATTCTCCCTCTCTTTCCACTCTGCAGTGGACTCTCAAAATAAGTTGCCATTGGTGATGACTCTGCTAGGCAGTGGCCCATATGTCTCTGTACTCTCAGTCATATCCTCAATATTGTTTTCAGCAAAATGATCTTGTTGTTTTCTAGCTTTTAATTATGTTGCTAGAGTCATCGTATATACTATTCTGCTTTAATTCAGAAAATCAAGCCAATTAAATGACCCATTTCAAGAAGAAAGAGAAATCTGGGTCTGCCCTTGGGGGTGATCCTCAGAAACTGTGTCACTTGGTGAGTCATGAGTTTTATGTTGTATTGGCATAGTCCACACCAAAGCTCCTGCCAGAGTGATCCCTCCATGAGACATTGCTCAGTCTGACATGTCGGCATGAAAGGTCTTGCTCATGCCTCATGGTCACTTTCAGGTTCACCAAGACACTCCAAGGTGCCACGTTTTTGTCTTTTGTAACCAGTAATTGTCACTCCAGTCATCACTGTCCGTCTTTCATCACGAAGAGTTTGTTCTCAAGTCCATGTGTAGCTATTGTTGATTTTGGGCATGTTTCCATGTTCTTTCATTTTTGTTCCTTGGGTGTGTGTGGATTTGTGTTTGTCCCTTTTTCCCTTCCTGGAATCATCAGGTCTTTTTGAGACAAATCGCCTCTTTGAGTTCTGTTGAAGCTTTGCATTGCTTCTAATATACACCGGGTTTATAGGGGGATACTCATCGCATCAGTGCTGAGACCAGCTTGAAGGGCAACCTGGCTAGTGGGTCTTAGAAATATGTAAGGTTTTGGTAGCCAGGGGCAAGAGTGGCTTAGGACAAGCCCATTTACAAAATATTACCGAGTAGGATGAAAAGAGTTTATAAGAAACAAGCCTGAACAGAGTTTGATGTGAGAACACAGCTCTGCCTTATCATCCAAAGAGTATCTACAGATAACACTGGAAAGAGTGAAACAAATCAGCAAGAAATGGAACAGTTCTGCGGCATTCTGTGGTGATATCTTCTCATAGCCAATAATTGATTGATTGATTGACAACTCTCTTAATGAAGTAAAACTTCGGGAACGCCAGGAAGATGGTGTACCTTCTCCTCAATGTTGCCTTTAAATCTAGAATAGAAATACCTTCACTCAGAATTATAAGAAGAACCAACACTGTTATAGCACTTAAGGGCTTTCAGAGGGCTTTACATAGATTGTATCTTTCTATCCTGCAATAATCCTCTGAGCCAGGGGATATTGTTTCCCCTCTGGAGATGGAGAAAGTTTCAGCAAGGTTAAATTATTTGTCTGCAGTCACACAGCTAATACATATTGGTGTGGGACTCAAATACAGGTTTTCATGGCTCTGTTTAGCGTGCTAGTCACTATGTACTGGTTGACTTTGCTGAACTACTCTCCCTCTCCCTCCCTCCCTCCCTCCCTCCCTCCCTCCCTCCCTCCCTCCCTCCCTCCTTCCTTCCTTCCTTCCTTCCTTCCTTCCTTCCTTCCTTCCTTCCTTCCTTCCTTCCTTCCTTCCTTCCTTCCTTCCTTCCTTCCTTCCTTCCTTCCCTCCTTCCTTTCCTTCTTGCTTTCTTTCTTTTTTCAAGCATTTATTTCTTCTTCCTCCCACCTCTACCTTTTCCCCAATCACCACACCATTGAGAAAGAGAAAAAGAAAAAGAAAACCTTTGTAACAAATGTGTATAGCCATGCAAAGCAAATTCTCACATTTTATTTTAGTTTTTAATGATGTTTTCTGTTTCCTAAATCATCACTTATCCCAAGTATCCTCCCTCCCCCTCAGAGAGAGGGATCTTATACAACAAATAGTATATATATATATATATATATATATATATGTATGTATGTATAATTAACATATATTAATATTATATATATATATATATATATATATATATATATATTGGCTAGGCAGTGGGGTTAAGTGATTTGTCCAAGGTCACACAGCTACTAAGTGTCAAGTGTCTGAGGTCATATTTGAACTAAGGTCCTCCTGACTCCAAGGCCAGTGCTCTATCCACTGCGCCACCTAGCTGCCCCAACAAATAGTATTTTTTAGAGAGGGAACCCCCCATCTCCAACTAATTGATATGTTGACAAAGTATCAGAACACATTCAGTATTGGTACCTGTGGACCTCCTGCCTCCACAAAGGGGTGCCACATATCATGGAAGGCAAAGACAATCATCCAAGATGAAAACAGACATGCCTCAGTGGTTTGGAAATCTGCTTGACTTAAACCCCATTTGAAAATTTTTAGGCAATCATTGGGTGGCTAGGTGGCACCGTGAATAGAGCACCAGGCTAGGAGTCAAGAGGATCTGAGTTTAAACCTGGCCTCAGACCCTTACTAGCTGTGTGACTCTGGACAAGTCACTTAACCCTGTTTGCCTCAGTTTCCTCATCTGTCAAATGAGCTGGAGAAGGAAATGGCAAACCACTCCAGTATCTTTATCAAAAAAAACCCCAGTGGGCTCACAGAGAGTCAGACACGAATGAATATCATCAGGGTTAGACTTGGGAAAATGGACTGTGTACACAAAAGTGTACTTAATTGTATTTACTGTATTTACTGTATTAAAATGATGGTTTCATGATGAATTAAAGAATATATGTCAAAGTTTAGTGACCTCAATGCCAAATAAGGTGCAGTAAATAACTGACACCCAATGAGGACCATTGGATAGGAAAGACTTTTTTAAGATGTAAAAATTTGTAGAGTTTATTCTGTAAGTGCCAGGTAATATGCACATAACTATAACTCTACATTTCTCTTTGTCTGTTGACGTCATTGTATTTACAGTGCTCATTTCTAAACTCCTGAGTTTCATCATCTTATCCCAAGATTCCTTCTTTATTTTCTGTTACTTTTTTTTTTTGGTCAGTCCAACACTTCACTTTATTTCTTCAGCATGCGTGTCGTCCGTTTTATGGTGTCGCTTTTTTTTTTGAAGGTTAATATAATTATGTCCTTATTTAAAAAGAAGCAATCCAAACTGTTTCAGCAGGTATTTCTTCTAATTTTTTTTTCTTCTGTCTTTCTATTATTCCATATTATTTTTTCATTGTGTTATAGCATTTCATCAATTAGTTCATTATTTTTTATTCATTAGTTTGAGGATTTTTAAGTGTTTTCTATTCCTAGATTCAAAGGAGACATTGAGGAGAAGGTATACCAGCTTCCTGGAATTCCTGAAGTTTTACTTCAGTAAGAGTTTTCAATCAACCAATAAGTGATTGGCAATGAGAACATATTGCCATAGACCTTCTGGCAGAACTGTTCCATTTCATGTTGATTCGTTTCCTCTTCCCGGTTTTATCTACGGACACTCTTGGGCTGACCAAGCAGAGAGTTCCTTACAGGCTCACAGCAAGCTCTGTCCAGGCTTGTTTCTCCATCACTTGCTGTCTGCTGTTTTGTAAGAAGGATTCTCATAAGCTCCTTTCATCCTACTCTGTAACATTTTGTAAATGAGCTTGTTCTAAGCCACTGTTGCCATTAGCTCTCATTTCTCTTTGGCCATGAGGGAGGTTAGATGTCACATGATCTGGCGGCTCTGGCTTATATCTTGTGCCCATCATTTTGTACCAGAGACAATTCTCTAAGACCTGGTGAGATTCGGAGTCAGTTTTCATGCACTTGCCACTTTTAGGGCCTCAAGTGCTCGTTTAGGTAAGTTTTATGAGCTTCTCTGTGTCACAGTTACTGAGTAACTAAGACAGTATGGCCAGCCCGCAAGTGTAACAGGGATTTCAAGACGGAGCTACGACACGTCACACCATCTAAGACAAGACGGGAGTTTTCCTTTGTAGATAGTAGGAAGACAGTTTTAGCAGCTTGGTGTAGCAGGGGATGGGGTGGGGTGGAGCTAGTGGGATCTATGTTGGCCAGGGCTAGATTCATTCCCCCATTCTTCTGTCTTTCAGAAGAGTATTGGGCTTGGAATTATACTGATCTATTACACAGTCAATGTTTGCAGTCTGGAAGTGTGATTCTGTTTTGGGGTTAAGGATGAAAGCCACTTTCCCGGGTCACTGCAGAGGGAAGGAAGCAGTTCCGCCCCAGACCTGGAGTGTGACTGCGACTTTAACCTAAGCCATCTTGGTTTCTCCTCCTATCATATACTTATGACACAAAAGACAATCCAGGATAATGAGCAAACACATTTATCAAAGCAAACAAGACAAAGATGACATATAGATTGGTTTAGGTGATGGAATACACACAAGTAAAGGGAGCTTTGTGGTGTGGGAATAAGATTAAATAGCTCAGCCAGGGAGACAATGATCTCCCCTGTGTGGTCCACTCTTAGCAGTCTTTAGAGGTATAAGTATTGGGAACTGACGATATGTTAGGGTGCCCACTCTTTCCCATATGCCTGTGGCTCTGTACTTTCCTTGTTCTCACCTCGTCTCCTCCAGTTCTTTCTCCCAGACATATGCCGTGTCACAGGTGTCTCAGCCAATCAGAAATCACACTTCCCTAGCGGGACACGGCTGTACAAGTATCATGGAGCTACGCCTGGGGATGGGACCCCAGGCTTCAACCTCACCTTTTGCTTTAATGACACGATGATCTGACTGCACACACACACCTTTGATTCTGAAATCACAGACGTGACGTTAGCCAGTTGTTTCTTGTCTAGTGACAGGAGGCTTTTGTGATAATAGTCCAGGTGAGAGATGAGGAGGGTTTGAACTTGAGTGGGAGTAGGATGGTGACTGTGAGCATAGAGTGAAGGGGATGGAAGCAAGACATCTGGAGACAGAAACACGATTTGGCAATGGGTTGGACACGTGGGTGAGCAAGAACGGAGAAGCAAAACGGCGCTGACATTGTGAACCTGGATGACTAGAAATGTGGTGATGCCTTTGAAAGAAATGGGACAGATTGGAAGAGGGCTGGCCGAGAGTCCAAGAGAATAGGTTCTGTTTGGGGCATGTTGATCCTGAGGTGTCTCCAGAGCGTCCAGTTTGAAATGTCCAAAAGGTAGCTGGTGATGGCAGAACTGAAGGCTGGTAGAGCAGCCATGAGGTAGACCACATAGCAGAGGAGACCCTGCCCTTGTGGGGAGACAGCGTGACCTCAGGATCCTTGGCAGGGGACCCTGCCCTTGTGGGGAGACAGCGTGACCTCAGGATCCTCGGCAGGGATAGGGAGTAAAGTGGATACAGCACTGAACTTGGAGTCGGGAAGACCCCAATTCTAAACCTACCTCAGTCACCTGGTAGCCAAGTGACCCTTGGAGAAGTCATTAAACTTTGTGTGCCTCAGTTTCCTCATCTTGTAGGAATGGACAAATATCAATATTTTGATATGCCAGAGCACTCTTGCCAGAGCAGGGATTCATCTTCTTTCCCATTTCTATCTCTCCTTCCTGTGCTGAGAGTTAATGCTGGCATTTTCTTTCTTTTCTTTTCTTTTTTTTGCTTTTTGGTGAGGCAGTTGGGGTTAAGTGACTCGCCCAAAGTCACACAGCTAGTGAATGTTATGTGTCCGAGGCTGGATTTGAACTCAGGTCCTCCTGACTCTAGGGCCGGTGCTCTATCCACTATGCCACCTAGATGCCCCACAATGCTGGCATTTTCTGCTCTAGGGTCTTCTCACTCAAGAGCCTCCAGGACCAGATGACCAATCTTACAATGAATGGGCCAGAAGCTGTGCTGCAAGTGACCACAGCCTCCATCACCTTCCTAATGCATATTTACAAAATTAAAGTTGATTAAAATTTCATTTGTGATACCCCTCAAGATAATTCGAAATGCTCTGATGTCATGGAACCAGATTAATGGCTACAGTATATCATAAGTTTGGTGGAAACTGATTTCTCTCTAGTTCTCTGTAGAATGCCTTGTGGCCCAAGAGTGTTAGCCTTGGAGAACATATTGCATTTATTTATTAGGAACAACTGTTTGTCTGAGGATTAAAAAAGGCCCTCAAGTTCCCCAAGTCCATGAATCACACACCCTCTCGTCCCTTCTGGAGCGTGTCATCCAGGTGTTGGCAACAAGTTCTGCCCCCATCTGGAAACAATTGTTCTGTGTTGCACATCTGGATCCAGTGGTCTTTATGAAAGGAAATTCAGGATTGGTTAACATGAATAAAGTTTATAACTCCCATTAGGAACCAAAAAATGTTGAAGCGTTTCCCACTAATGTGTAAGGATACACAGGAAAAGTCTTTGAAAAAATATTGACCCTAATACCACCAATGACAATTTTAGAAAAAAGAGCTATCTTTCTAATAATGATAACAGCTACTATGTGCCAGGCACTATGTTAAGCACTTCATAATTATTATCTCATCTGATTCTCATGTCAACCCTGGAAGGCAGGGGCTGTTATGATAATCATTTTACAGAAGAGGAAACTGAGGCAAACAGAAGTTAACTGGTTTGCTTAGAGTCATACATCTAGCAAGTGTCTGAGGCCAAATTTGAACTCAGATCTTCCTGATTCCAGGTTTGGCACTCTATTCACTGTACCACTTAATGTATATAATTCTCACTTTTAGCCATTTCAGCAGCAAAATATATACGTATGTATGTATACATACACATACATATTGAAATGGCTAAAACTGCTAAATACATATCATATATACTATATATAACATATTACATAATACAGTATATATACTATCTATGATATATTATTATACAAATAATAGAATTATTATATAAATTATTTAATTAATAAATAATTATAAAAGCAGTTATTATGAATAACAATTATATATAATTATAATTGTACACAAGCAATATCATCATGTTAATATATAATTATATACTATACTGCAATATATATATATATATTATTGAAATTGCTAAAACTGCTGAATACATATAATATATATATATGTATGTATACATATAATATATATATATATATATATATATATATATATATGTATGTATACATATACAGTGCCTACTGTGGGCAAGAAAGCCGTGTGCTTAGTGCTCCCCTCAAGGGTCTTATATGTCAAGGCGAGAATGGGATGGACATATACAGAAGCAGATACTTAACTGCAAATAAACAAGGCCATTTGAAGAGGCTAAAGAACCAGTATCCCATCATCCCCTCCTTTCTTCTTTCTAGTTCTTTTCCAGTGGCTACTAACATTGCCATATGAGGTAAGTTTGGCTTAATAGCCAGGTAAGCCAATAATAATTGTAATGATTGTAGTATAATTAGTAATCTTTCTTCCTCTTGTTACCGATTGTAATGACCATCTACTAAAGCAGATAAAGAGAACAGAGCAGGTTACTGAAGTGGAATCTTAAATAGTATGAAAGATAGAGTGAGATCAATCATTGAGAATGAAGTTGTGTCAAGGTAAACATGGGAGAGTTCGATGGGAGGCAGAGCAAAGAAGGAAGGATTTGAGTGCACTATGACCAATTTTGATTGGACTTCTCAGAACAAAGGCTCTGAAAAAAGTAATTACTTAGGATCTAAATAATGAGTAACTGTGATAATCTACTTACCTTGAGAGAAGAAAGGAGGAAATTCACCTCCAGTCTTTGACAGAGAAGTGGTGAACTGGTTGCAGTTAATGCCTTCTCTTTGTTATCATGGAGGGCTCATCCTTGGGGTAGAGGTGGAGCCAGAAATAACTTCAATGTAAAAACAAAAAGTAGCAATTCAACTTTTAAAAAGAGTCATTATCGATCTGTATTTCTGTAGTCCCTCGGAGAAATGATATATAAATGCTAGTTATTATTATTATTATTATTATTATTAATCCCACTCAATTTAATTCAGTAAACATTTGGTAAGTGCTGTAAGACCCAGGATCTTCCTTCAAGGAGTTCATACATTGTACTAATCTCCACTGTATCACCTGGTGCCCACAGGGGTGGGTATACTTTACAGCTCCCCATCATCTTATAACTGTTTCCTATCATGTTTCTCCTCCAGGCTCCTGAGCCACTTCACCTCCAATTTGAAGGAGAAAAATTGCTGTTGTAAGCTGCCACGTATCTCTTAGTCCACAACTCAACAATCCTTCCCGTCCTTGCTCCAGTCTGGAGAGAGAAGTGGCTGTTTATCTCGCCAAAGACAACCTCTCTGCTTGCACCCTTGATCCAGGCTTTCCTGTCCTCTCTAGGTGTTTCGCCCCTTTCTTCATTCTCTTTCTGCCTTTCATCTCCAACCTCTCCCTTTCTATTCCCTCTTTCCCCCACACCTACAGAAGCGTCCAGGTTTCCTCCATCCTTAAAGACCCTCACATGAATTGTCATCCCTTCAAGTCATTGTCCCATCCTTTCATCTCCTTTCTCCTAAAAAAAGGCATCTGTACTCGTTATTTCTACTTCCTCACCTCCCTTGCACCCCTCCTTGACCTGCCTGTTGCAATACTCCTTTGCAAATCTCCTTTGAGTCCATATAACAGCCTGACTTTGAGAAGGGGTCCACGGCACCAGCCACGGTGGACAGCCCCTGGGCCATGAGCAGCAGGGACCTGGCTCAATGCTGTTCCCTCCCTGCCTTGCTCCATCCCAGACACAGGGGGCACCACCGGGCGGTCCTCGACAGCGGACCCAGCTGGCCTAGGAAGGTTGGGGGAGGAGGCGGACGGAAAAGGCTGGCGCTCCTTGCGCAGGCGCACCCACCGCCACCTCCGACAGCACCTTGGCGCCTGCGCAGTGTCAGGACTCGGCTCGGGCTATAGGAGCCTCAGCCCCGCCCCTCTTCCCTGGCCCCGCCCCGCCCCTCCAGGTGGGCGGTTGCCGGGCAGTTGAAAGATGCGGCGCCTGCGCGGTGGGGCTCCGGAGGGTCTGGGCAGGAGCTCAGGGAAGGAGGACAGGGGCGGGGAGCGGGCATGAGCCCGAGCTGGAGGAGGCCGGGAGGGCCGGGCACCCCGCGGCTCCGCGGAGGAAGGGAGCCGGGCAGAGGCCGGCCGACGTGAGTGTGGGTGTGGGTGTGGGTGTGGGTGGGGAGAGGCGCCCCCGCCTCTCCCCCCCCCCGCGCCTCTCCCCCCCCCGCCTCTCTCCACCCCCGCCCACGCTATTTGTCCCATGAATGTTTCCCCTGTCTTTTCCTTCCCTTTTCTCTGCCCCACCTCTGCCTTTAGTCCTACCCCCCTTGCTTCTTCTCTTCCTTTCTTTCACACCTGTCTCTCCCTCCCACGCCCAAATTCTTTTTTTTTTCTTTTTGATTAGGCAGTTGGGGTTAAGTGACTTGCCCAGGGTCACACAGCTAGTATCAAGTATCAGGGGTCGGATTTGAACTCAGGTCCTCCTGACTCCAAGGCCAGATCTCTGTCCACTGCGCCACTCAGCTGCCTCCCTCTTTTCTCTCCAGCTGCTCCTTTGCCTGGTCTCTCCGCCCCCTAAATGCAAGCCTTCCGTGCTCGGTGTTCAGCTGAGCTAGCTCGGGACTGGGAGCCTTGTTCTAAGCAGCTCGCTGTTGAGCATTGACCTGCCCACCCTGCCCACAAGGACTTCCCTTTCCAGGGAGAGGCCCATTTTGGGGCAGGGGAGACAGGGCTGGATCTGGGGGGAAGAAAACACCTGGGCTCGGGGGAAGCTAGAGCACCGGCCCTGAAGTCAGGAGGACCTGAGTTCAAATCTGACCTCAGACCAAACACTTGACACCCACTAGCTGTGTGACCCTGGGCAAGTCACTTAACCCTACTTGCCAAACCCCACCCCCCCCAAAAGAAGCTGAAAACACCTGGGCTCTTGACTCCCTGGGTGGCTTCTGCCCCCTACCCCCCTTCAGATGAGAGAGGTGGCCTCTAGACCTTGGTTACTGACCCCTGGGAGCTGTGGGTTCATGGGATGCTGGACTCAAGGGTTTGTATCTATTTGGTCAAGGATTGGGGGGGAGGGTCAGTGTTGTGGAAAACCAGGGACTGTGGAGTTTGAATCCAGAGCCTGCTCCATCAGTACCACTTGTTACCCAGTACTTACACAGTGCCTGGCACCCGGTAGGCAGGCGCTCAGTAGATGTTTATGGAATGCCCAGGACCTCCTCTCCTCTTTTCCTGCTCCCAGGGCTTGGCTTCCTCCACTCAGGGCTGGTTCTTGGAAGCTGAAGATCTTGTATTTTTATTTTCCATTAGGAATGTGAAGAGCTGAGAGGGGAGAGGCCATATGAGCACAGGAAGGCTGCAGCCTGGGTGAAGGAGAGCGTTCTAGGGCTGTGTGAAGGAGGTGAGTTCTGGGAACCCCCTGGGGAATGGCAGTTTGGACCCTGATGCCCACAGCAGGGCTGCTGGGTCTTTTGCTTTGTTCATTAAAAAGCAGAACAGTTAAAGTTTCATTTTTTTGTCTGAATTCACTGGTCCAGCTTTTAGTTTTGGGTTTGGTTTTTTTCTAAGAGGAAATAAAGTTATAGTCAGATGCAAATGGAAAATACTTAAAAGGAATCTTGAAGGACTTTCCTGGGAGCAGTTGTTGAGTATGCTGGAATTACCACACTGATTGTGACTGAGTGAAAAACCAAAGCAAGCCAACAACCCAGCAAAACTTTCTCCTGAGTAGACCCACGGCAGAACTGGACAACGGTTACTACTGAAAATATGTTTTGTGATTGTACGTGCAGACATCCCCAGTAGAACAGTGGTCGATGAACAGTTCTGAAGGAGAAAACCTTGGGTGCTTTAGCATGTGTGGGTTGAAGGGAGCAGGGTGTGAGCCCCAGTCTGGGGGTGGCATCTCCTGAGTCTGTTCCCAGGCCTCTTTCTTCCTCCCTAAATGTCCCTGGGCATTTCCCTGAGACTTTTAAAATGGGGCAAGTATCATTTGTCTTCCTCTGGAGGCTATAAAATTTAATTAATGTTTTATAACTGCCTACTTTTATAGATGAAAGGCAATAAAGTACTAGAGTGGGTAGTGAAATATTCTTGCTAAGGCCTTTTATGTCCATTACAATAAGTGGTTGCTTGAACTGGCTTGTGCTGGCTGCTAAGAGCCTATTGTTAAATTTCCAGGAATTTTGTGAGCTAGTTGTTAAACAGAGCCATTCTTTGAAATTAAATGACACGTAAACTTAGAATTCAATAAATTATATTAAAAATAAAGGTAATAAACAGAACTCACCACTTCCTAATTATTTTACTTTTTCATTATTATTTATGCTCTTTAGCTTACTTACATGTCTCATATCTGTATGGTGGAAATACTCTATAATGATGTGGTATATACTGCACGACTTCCCAAGTCTGTGTTCAGAGTGCTGTCACCTTGGGTCCTTCAAATAGACCACAGCGATAGTATTTACACAGTGTTACAAACAGGGGCTTGATTTATCCTTTTGAGGATTGTCGTTTAGACTTGCTTCAAGTTTGTAGCTGTTACGTTGTAGCCTACAAACATTTAGAGATTCTTTATCCAGGATTCACAGACCAATCCAGTTCATCAGAGAAATGCTCATGTCACTGACGAACAAGTGAAGTGTCCACATACATTTTCATTGCTTCTCTTTTGTCTCTCTCGTGAACATAAATGAAAACATGACCCAGACTTCATGTCAGACCTGCCCTCGTTCATGGATGACATGAGTGACTCGATGGCTGAATCAGGCAGTGATCCACCATCTCTGCATGGTTGGATTTTTGTGAAGCTCCTTATTGGTGATAGAATTATAAACACCAACAGTGGATTTGGCAAGAAATAGCAAGGTGCGCTGAAGTTACACTTGTAATCTGAAAAAGAAGGCAAATGTTTTAACTTAAAATGTGTTATTTCTGAAATTATATAAAGAGATCATTAAAATAAGTTTTTACCTGAAAGTGGTATATGAATTTTACTAATGTATTGAAAATTAATTTTCAGATCTGATCCTAAAATGCTAAAACGACAGAGTGATATATTCAGTTTTTTAAATGTGAAGAAGGTGAAAACAGACCCAGAAAACAAGATGAATGAAAATCATTGTAGAGCATGGAAGCCCACAGAACCCAGTTTTGAGTCTGTTGAACAGCCTCTTATTGAAGCAAAGCCATCATGTTCATCCAAGGAAGAAATGGATAATCTTGTGCTTCCAGACTGTTGGAACAAAAAGCAAGCCTTTCTATTCACGGAACAGTACAAATGGCTTGAGATAAGAGAAGGTAGATTAGGATGTAAGGATTGTTCGACAGTTCAGCATTTAGGAACGAGAGCAGAAAAGCACGTGCACGTCTCCAAAGAGTGGATTGCCTATTTGGTGACCCCAAATGGAAGTAATAAAATTACTAGACAAGCTTCTTTACGGAAAAAAATGAGAGAGCACGACGTTTCTAAAGCCCATAATAAAATTCAAGATTTGTTAAAAGAATCTCCTTCTAGGGACTCAGTTTCCAATTTTGTTCCTAAACCAAATAACAAGAACATTGATGCTACTGTAAAAGTGTTCAATACCGTTTACAGTTTAGTAAAATGTAATAGGCCTTTATCCGACATTGAGGGGGCGATAGAATTACAAGAGGAAAAAGGCGTCAATATAGGCAGTCGTTTGCATACAAGATATAGCGCAACGAGAATAGCAGAACACATTGCAAAGGAAATTAAGATGAAGAGATTTAAGAATATCATAGAAGAGAATGCCAAAATCTGTGTCGTCGTTGACAAGACGTCTGCAGTTTCGAAGAAAAGCGCCCTGGTGATTTACCTCCAGTGCGCGGTTCAGTCGGCTCCATCACCCGTGATGTTATTTGTTGCTTTAAAAGAACTGGCATCAACAATGGCAGAGTGTATTTTCAATACGTTGTTGTCCGCTTTAAACGATTGTGGCTTTCATAATGAGTATTTGAAAGCCAACTTAATTGCATTTTGTTCTGATGGGGCTGATACAGTGTTGGGAAGAAGGTCTGGAGTAGCTGTGAAGTTATTGGAAAATTTTCCCAAGATCGTCATTTGGCATTGTTTAAATCATCTATTACAGCTGTCCCTTGATGATTCAATATCTGAAATAGAACGAGTTAATCATTTTAAAATGTTTCTTGACAAAACATATTCTATTTATCACCAATCTAATAAAAATCAAACTGAGCTAGAAGCTATAGCTAAAGAACTTGAACTGGAAATTATTAAAATTGGTCGGGTCCTTGGACCAAGATGGGCAGCATGTAGTCTACAGGTTGCAACTGCTGTATGGCGTTCATATCCTGAATTATACAGAAATTTTTCTCATTCTTCTTCTTATTCCAGTTTGGCAAAGAGATTAGCTAACATCAGTTTCTTGCAAGACCTTTCATTAATGATTGATATTCTGGAAGAATTTTCATTACTTTCAACTGCACTGCAGTCAGGATCAACTAACATTCAAAAAGCTCAAAAATTAGTCAAACGTACCATAAGAGCTTTGGAAAATTTAAAGATTTGTAGTGGAAAGTATGAATCTCAAATTGAAGATATGATTAAGTCAGACAAGTTTAAAGACATCCCATTTAATAAAAATAGTAAACTTAATACTCTTCCAAGGAATATGTTACTAGAACACATAATTCAGCACATGAACTTGCGTCTTTTATTGGAGAGGAGCAATGATGAAAGCATTTTAAGTTATTTTGATTTATTAGAACCATCTGCTTGGCCTCACGAAGAACTAACTTCACCCTGGATAGCTGGTGAAAGAAAATTGTCACATTTGAATGAGATTTTAAAATATGAAATTGATTTGAATGATTTTCGGGAT